TCCTGGTTTAGCGACTTATAATTACGTTTCTCCTCTGCAATTTTAACAATTTAAATGATCCATTATATACATTCGTTTGCCGTAACGTAATTATCATAGAAAACGCAATGTTCATTACCTTCCCTGACCCTCTTTGGTGGACGATTTTCACTAAGCCCCTGATGATCAGGAAAATTCTTCTTTCGTTTCATGGTTAGTTTGTGTTCTTCTTCGTTTTCACAGAGAAACGATAAGATTGAGAAAAAATTAAACGTTTTATACATGTAAATAGCATTATTCTATTTCCAAAAGCTCTACTATAGTCATTACTATTTTTTCCTTTGTTGGATCATTTTAGTATCATAGAGTTATACACCGAGTTAGCTTGCGGAACAATCAAGTAGGAACAATATGCAATTTAGGAATCTTCATTAATACGGAAAAGATATTATAGGTATCTGGCTAATTAATATGCATATGGCAAATACAACAACGGATAAGAATATAGTATAAGATAAATGTTTCGTTAAAAATTGTTTAACCTAAGTCATATATACATAAAATTGATTCATAATATATATTTGGTTCTAATATTTTTTTGTGCATTCACTGTCCACAGGTTTTTACTGCAAAACATAAGGTTAATGCTTTTCCAAGAGGTTGTAGTATGGAAGCGAAGAATATTACATGCTGGGAAAACCACATTAAGTGAAGGTACGTACGTCTCTAGTAGAATTATAATTAAGGTTACTGATGGGCATAATCGCAATAAACTTTAAGTTAAATTACAGTCCAGACTTTTATATAACTGTAATTGTCACATTAGGCTAAAGCACTTGTGTCACAAGTGTAATGGATAAAACTAACGATACAAAGAGAACTCCATGTTCATTTACCATGTTTAGGAAAGCACATGTTTCTTCAAACATAGATACACGTTTTATAAGACTATAGTGTCCAAAACAAAACACAAAAATAAGTACAATGTTAGATATTATAAATAATAATAAATCAATGTTTGCACGACATTTGAAATTAAAAATACGAAACAGATAAAATATAAATAAGAGGCTCTTTATTAATTAAATTTGAAGCAAAAAAGAAAACAGAACAAAACATTTTAAAAAACCTTAATGTTATAAATTATCAAATGCTTAAATAGATTAAATAATAGGAAAAACTACTAAAGCAAGAGCCTCCACCATCCTGGTTGCCTTCACCAATTTCAGTCTAGCCACTTTTATGAATCTTTTCCTTCTTGATTCGGATGTTACATGGAGTTTGGGTAACATAGTTTTGATCAATTGTTTCCTCCACGTTAATGACTGCGTTTCCCTTGCGTTTTACTGGGGTCAGTTCCGCTGTCTCTAAATTCTCAGACGAACCACCAGATAACATCATAGAGCCCTGTTACAACAATTCCAAAATTAGCTTCAAAGATCATAAGAGAAAAAAACTAACAATTCCCCTTAATTCAAATTGATGCATGTCCAAACCTCGGGTGCATCTGATAGGATAGAGTTTTCCGGAACTCCAACCTAAATGAGAGATAAAGGGGAAACAGACATATTTTTAATAATGGTAACACTCAAGAAACGACGACAAAAAGTAAAGCTCAGCACATTATATTTATTTACCTGATGGTTTTGACCATACTCATAGATCATGTCAGCATCGGAAATGATTTTCAACACTTTGTAAGTGTCGTGCTTGTACACAAAATTCTCACGCTCAATACTGACCTTGAATAAGTAAGTTTTACCCACCAGATTGTTGAGTGCAAGAGGGAGATCCTCAGGTTGTTGGATCTGTTAGATATATTTGTGAGTTTATAACACATTATATAAGACTGAAAAACGTAAATACTTTTATACAAATATCATTCTGCAAAAATACCTCATCACTATTCAGACCAGCTAGCTCAATGCACGGCTGATGAAGTAGCTGAACAGCAAGACTGTCAAATAGGAGAAACTTTGCTTTGCCGGTATTGTCAAACACAACCAAATGCAACTTGTACCTATACATAAAAGAACCGAGCAAAATGTTTTTGTTAACACCAGCCGCAACCTTATGTTAAAACTGAAATAAAACAGTTATAAACTAACCTTGGTAGAAGCTTTGGATTGTACTGTTTGCATTTCTCACAGTAGTAAGTGAAACCCAAAAGACTTTCATCGTCCTCATCATCAATACTGTCATTAGGGACATGTTGCACCTTCTTGGCACAAACCTTACAACTCAAATAATACCATCCCATGTCAGAATCAATGGCAGCTATGGTGCAGAGAACTATACACTTCTCCACCTACATAATAAATGTGAAGTACATTATATGTTAGAAGTAAAAATGAGAGTAATAAGACAATAGATAGAAGAATCTAATACCTGTCTTGATTCATACATCTCTGAAATGGACTTCCGAGGTGTGTGGACAAAAAAATCATCCTTGTCCGAAACCCCATTAACCATAGCGAGAGGCTTTGGGTCGACAATAGCTAATGCTAGCTCATCTTTTGGTAACCTTTGTCAAAGTTTAAACATAAATTCTTCACTGCTTCATGACAGAATATAAAATATAACAAATTAACTGAATGTAATATTTTTTTAAAAAAACTTACAATGCCACAAAAGCTTCAACCTCAGGCATGTTCGGATTAAGTGCAACATCTGACACATTATAAGCATTGCTGATGCTACGCTCTTCTGAAAAATTACATACACAAAAATAAATTAGGAACAGGTAAAAGACATGATTATAGACAATTGACAGACTATTTACCTTTCCAAATTTTAATCTTGCCAAACCTCAACACACATATCACTGAGCGTTCTCCACGAACTTGAGTAACATCAGCAACATCCGAAGCAAATTTCCCCCATAAAACCAGTGGGAGACGGTCGTTCCTAATTCAGACAGAATGGATTAGTCTATAGAAAACATATTAACCTAACAGTGGCGTGAAGAGAATGGATTAGTCTTACTCAGTGTTGTGAAGTTCAACGGTGATCTTGTTAGTGTCTTTTCCATTGACGGAAACAATCTCAAGAGGTGTCACTTCCACAATTTGGCCAATGATATCTGGCAGGTTAAAAACAAAATGTCAGAGGTGACTTTAGAAAGTTCAAAGAAGATGTATGATACTAACCAACCAAAAAGTCTGGACTGAGATTTCCAGCTAGTAGATCTCGGTAATTGACAGGATCAAAACCAGTCAACGCTGCAGGTAAATCCTCACAGTTTCTCACACGGGTTGTTGAGAGGAAGCTTATCTTGTAAAGATGATTTGTGGATCGATATGAACCACATGAGTGGTTCAAAGAGAAGTTGATGAAGATTTTTGAACCACCTTCAATTAAAAAGGGATCAAACTGGTTCACCAATTCCTTTTTCACACTGGCGTGAATCTTATCACCCTATAAAAAAAATCCCAGTAAAATATAGATATTAGATATGCAACATGTAAAATAAAGTTATAAAGATATGATAGCAAGCGTATAAAGGAATACTCACGTTAGCATCGATGAGTATCATCTCAATGGTCAAACCACCGGCGGCTGAGTACTGCCTCCAAAGACGGATTATCTTTACTTTGATCCTCCACATCGACTTGAAAGGTTTAAGCTCAGAAACTGTGTTCATGGCAGCCATTGTAAACAAAAGATAGAAGGGTTGCTGTTTATTAGGGTTTGTGTATTGAAATCGATATAGACAAACCCCTTATATACTAATATTGTTTCCAATATGATGGTTGGCCGTATTTATTGTAGAATATCAATTATGGTATTGTGTATTGAACTCAATAAACTTTATCTGCAAGGTTGCATTAGCGAATCTAAATTACTTTATACGCAAGGCATATATTACCTAAAACCAGGAAAAAAAATTCTTGCATTCAATGATCTGAATTTACTTTATGCGCAAGGCATATATTGCCTGAAAAAAATACGGTGGGCTGGTGCCTTTTGGATACCTCGTCAATGAAACGAAAACGTGGGCTGACAATGGGCCTCGTCAATGACTTTACGGCCATTACGTTTTAATTAATTAATGACTAAAGTGCGCTCAACGAATTAATACCCATCAACGAATTAAATGCCCATCAACGAATTAAATGCCAAATCACTCTCTGATGGACACGTCAGCAAATTCGCTGAAACGCACTGTGGAAACGACACGTAAGCAAAATGACTCCTCAATGCTCCTCAAATAATATATAGGGGATTTTATATAAGTACAATCTAACATTATATTGTTGGTTTTATATTTACTATAAAATAATTTTAACAATTCTATGAAACATAAAAATATACACCAAATAAGATAATAAAACAATATAAAGGTCCAATTTCTAAATTTAAATAATGTATATATGCTAAAATCAAAAATATATTTTTTATTTTATAACTAAAAATGGAAAAATAATAAAAAATCTAAATAAGGAAACTTTCGTAAATTAATATCTCTATAAATTAATAAAATTTCAAAGTCCCAACATTATTAATTTATAGAGGTTTTANAAGATAATAAAACAATATAAAGGTCCAATTTCTAAATTTAAATAATGTATATATGCTAAAATCAAAAATATATTTTTTATTTTATAACTAAAAATGGAAAAATAATAAAAAATCTAAATAAGGAAACTTTCGTAAATTAATATCTCTATAAATTAATAAAATTTCAAAGTCCCAACATTATTAATTTATAGAGGTTTTATTGTATAAGCACTGTGGCTTCTCAATTTTGACGTTTCTCTCTTCCATTGCCGCACTTGCTTTGCTTCTCCTCCTCAGGTAATATATTCGAACCAAATCTTCTTCGTTTGTTGTTTCATTCATACGCCATGCTAAACCCTAGGAGTTTTCTTAACTTCACTATAACCTTAGTGGATACTTTCACTAGCATTAGCAATCATTAAGACCTCAGTTTTTTCTCCAGTAGTTATGCATAACTGTTAGTTCTACTCTAACATAACTGTTATGTGTTCTGTCTACTTATTCATCAAGGTATCTTTAAGATGCAGAACGAAGAGGGTCAGGTCACAGAACTATACATTCCTAGGAAATGGTAATACGAATATTTTCCTTTATTCTAATTCTGTAAATTGATTTGTTATGTAGTCTCTCATCATAGCCATCTTTATTAACAGTTGTTGTTTTTTTGTTTTATATCTGAAACTACAGCTCTACTACTAATCGGATGATCACATCAAAGGATCATGCCTCTGTGCAATTCAACATTGGTCATTTAGATGCTGATGGCATCTACACCGGACAATTCACAACCTTAGCTCTCTGCGGTTTTGTTCGTGCCCAGGTTTGTCATACACTTATCTGGAGTCTTGTTGTATTACCGCAATCGCAGTAGGTTTTGTCTCTTGAAGATTGGAATCGTTGAGAAAACTCGCCCCTTGTTTTATAAGCATTTTTGTGTTTTGAGTTTTTTTAGAAAATATAAAGATTTATCATCTTGAGCAAACACTGCAACTTTGGTTAATCTTCATTGAATTGACTATTAATTCACGACGATGAACTGTACTGCAGGGAGATGCTGACAGTGGCGTGGATAGGCTGTGGCAGAAAAAGAAGGTTGAAGCCAAACAAATCTAAAGAGCCTTATTAAGCTGTCTTTTTGCTTTGCTCTGTTAGTTAGAAAGATGGTCAGACAAACTGAAGTAATGATATTTGCTTGACTTTTGATTTAATGCTTCTTGTGTCCACTGGCTTGTTCTGACTTTCCTCTAGTAACATCATATCTTCACAATTTGTCAAACCATTCTCATTTTCGAACAGTCTTGGGATATAGACGAAACAGAACCAAATGATATCGAAAAAAAACCAAGCCCGAATATTCCACCAGTTAACTGGCGAGATTGTAGTAGATTAACCGAAAACTATGATAGAATAAAACTGAACACTCCACCACATGGTCTTGTTTGTTTTGATGTTACTGCGTTATGCAACCAAATTTTCGTTTGTTTGCATACTGTAGGATCATGTTATCAATGCAACCAAATGTTTGTTTGTACATTGTATCATGTTTTTGGTTTTTGATTTTCAAAGTCCATTTTATCATCCAATCAAAATTTTAAGAAATAGATTTCCCAAATTTAGAGAAATTAGTTTTTGTAATAATTACATGATTCTAATCAAAAACCAAAGATTGTTTTCTTTGGTTTTCTAGCAATACTGGGTGTTTTGCCCACGCATACTTACATAATAATTTTACAAACATTTATATTATAAATGCAATATTATTAGAATAAATTATTGATCGTACATTCAAAAGTATTTACTATTAAATTAAATAAATAAATATATATATATATATATATAAGTTCTCATCATAATATTAATGTTATATATTACGTAAAATAAAAAGTTAAGATACTCACGCGTTTAAAATATTTAGAAATAAATTAAATATCAAATTATTTCCACATGAAAAAGTTTTTCATTATAATAAAATTATATTTTATTGAATAAAATAAACTTGAAAAATACTTATGTATTCATAAGATTATATAGAGGTTTATCTTTCCTTTTAATATTTAGAGTTTTATGAGGTAAAACATTTTTTATAACACAAATAACTATTTTATATTATGATAACTATTAAATTAATGAAATTCATTTTCAATAATAGTTAACTGTATACTAAAAAATTAAATAAACTTGAAAATACTCATGTATAATAAAACTATATATAGGGATGTATCTTTCTTTTTGATTATTTAAAATTTTTAAAGGTAAAATATTTTTTGGATAACACAACATAAATTATTTTTGTATAATGATAATTATTAAATCAATGGAATTTATTTTTAATTTATGGCTAATTATATATTAATAAATTTAGTTATTCATTAAGGTTAATAAGGACTCAACATAATATAATCTTTTTTAGTATAATTATTAAATTAATAGAAAAATTAATTTATGATTAATTAATTATATATTAACAAATTTAGTTAATTATACATTAAGGATAGTAATGTATTTAAACACTCTAATTTTTAATGTATGAGCTCAAATGAAAAAGAAAATCACTCGTAAATAATTAAATTTATTAAAGACTTTTAGATGATAATAATTATTAAATTAATAAATAATAATTTATGGTTAATTAATTATATATTGACAATTGAGTTAATTATTCATTAAGTGTTGTAATATATTTAACTGCTCATATTTTATGTGTTTGAATTCGAATTTGGACCTTTAACCTCTAGGGAAACATGTAAGCCATACACCAAACCAATAGAGCTACAACAGACTTTTTTTAAATAATGGCTGAAAATGTACTTCATTTTCTAGAAGGCCGGAAGTACATGCTTCCATGGCTTCCCTTAAGGGCCGCTACTGCCCATTGAAACTGAGATTTGGGTTGGATCTGAGCAGCTTGGCCCTTTCGGAAAGTTGGAGCATTCAATGTCTCCTCGTCCTAATACATCATTTTTCCCATGTGATCTCTGTTGGCTCTGTCTTCAAAGGTCATAGTAGAGTTGTTCCTCCCTTTATCGAGTTTATGGTGGGTTTGAGGATCTCGGTGGTTTTTAGTGTCTCCCTTTTTCGCTTTGGTCTTACCAGCTACTAAGGGTTCAGAGGATAGACCCGCCGTGGCTCTAATTCGAGGTGTTAGGAAGCTCTTCTCACGGGTTTATTTACCTTTTTGAGTAATCTCACGACTTCTACAGATCTTTCACTTTTTGGTTGAAGCTTTAGTTGGACGCTCAGGTGTGAATTTGTTTTTTTACTTCATCTCTTGAGGTAGTGTCATCATCGTGTGCCCGGTTCCAGAGCCACCTACCACATATGCTTGACCTGAGCATCTCCCATGGTTCAGTGCATCTTCGTCTTGTGAAAATGAGTTTGGTTTTCATATAAGGGTTCTAGTTTTATATATGCTTTGAAAAGATTTATTCATTTGTGTTCGTATTTAATGGTTCTATTGATTATCATAGAAGGGTTATCATTTTCTCTAGTTTTGTATGTGCTTTGAAAAGCTATATCATCTTTTGGCTTTCTGTTTCATGGCTCTAATGAGTACTTCTGCATCTTGATCTTTTTGAAATTGAGTTTGATTATCATATAAGGGTTCTCTATTTTTGTATGTGCTTTGAAAATAAACCATCCTTCATTTCAGTTATTTTATTGTGACCAAGTTGTTCCCTGAGGGTTTAAATGTTTTACTTGCCCGGATTGATAAAAATTTTTGATTCATGGATAATTTGTGCATATGGTTGAATGGTTTGTCTTGTACCTAAGCTTGAAGTGTGAAAGGTTTTAGTAAAGCTTTGTTTTGGTGTTTAGATTGTAGAATGAGTTTTTTTTTTTTTTTTTTGAATTTGTTGTCTTTGGATTGTAGATCTTTTGTACAAGAACTACCAAGGAGACCAAGTCAAAAACAAGAACCTCACTGCTGATATCAAAGTTGCTTCTGATTCTTTTGTAAGCATATAATGCTTTATTTGACTTGTTGCTTTCAGCTTTATGGATAGTAGTATTTATTATAAAGGTTTTAGTATTATAACCAGTGGATGTATTAAGGTTTCTTTCTCGACTACTCTAAGCTTAAAGCTTCTTTCTGTTCAATGCCATATTGTTTCCACTGATTATAATACTTTCTCGACTTTGCTAAAACTCAAACAGAAGTATTGATGAATATTTCCACTGATTATGATCTTGTATTGAATTTCAAGTTGCTGGATATGGAAAACGAAGAAGAATATCCATATACATCAACGTGTACATTTTCTATTACTGGAAAGAGAAGAAAAATATCGAATATGTGGAAATATTCAGAGTAGAAAAGGATGAGAATGAGGAAAAGAGAGCATATTGTCGGAAATGCTCAAAGAGCTATGCGTATACATCAACTAGTGGAACCTCAAATCTGAAGTGTCATAAAGAGAAATGCTTAGGAATTTTGGAGGCGAAAATAAGGGTAGTGAATTTTGATGAGAGAGTTGCTAGGGAAAAGTACAATCGAGTCATTATTAGACATAATCTTCTTTTCATTAATTTCGGTTGAATATGAAGAGCAGATGGACTATTTTAGCTATTTGAATCTAGATTACAAGTGTTACTTAAAGTAACACTGCTGCTAGTGATGTTATGAAAACTTGGGAGAAAGAAAAACATATTTTGAAGTCTGAGTTGGAAAAAATTACTAGTAGGATATGCTTGACCTCAGATTGTTGGACTTCACTAGCCGGAGATGGATACATAGCTGTCCCGGCACATTATGTTGATGCAAAGTGGGTGCTACATAGCAAGATTTTATCATTTTGTGAAGTTCTTCCTCCCTATATTGGTGAAGTCTTAGCTAGTAAAGTCCACAAATATTTGAGAGAGTGGGGAATAGAAAAAAAGTTTTTCACTTTGACTTTGGATAATGCCACGGCTAATGACAACATGAAAGACGTAGTGAGGGATCAGCTTAATCCATATGATAATTTGGTGTGCAAAGGATAATTTTTTCATGTTCGGTGTTTTGCACAAATCTTGAACCTGATTGTACAAGCTGGTTTGGAAGTTATTAGTCATGCTTTGTGTAAGATCAGAGAAACAACGAAGTATTTTAAAGGTTCAACATCTAGAAGGATTGCACTTGCAGTATAGATGGTGTTGAGGATGTCGTGATGTCAAGAATATGTGAAATTCGACCTATCTAATTGTGAAGAAGGCTCTGAAGTATCAACATGGTTTAAAGAGGTATAAATTAGGTGATAAACACTACTAGCATTACCCTTCCAATGAAGAACGAAGAAAAACTAGCACTATCTTTGAGCTCTTGAAACCATTTTATAGTATTATGAATTTAATGTATGGCAGAAGCTACTCTGCTTTAAACTTGTATGTTTCTCATATTTGGAAGATTCGATGTTTGTTGAAAGTTCATAACAGCAATGAAGTTATCATCATCCACACAATGATTTCTATTATGAGGGAGAAGTTTGATAAATACATGGAGGAGTATAGCGTGATTCTTGCAATAGGAGTTGTCTTGGATCCTATGATGAAGTTAAAGCTTTTGGAGCGTTGATATGGTGAGCTTGATCCATTCACCTCCCAAGAAAAGATTGATCATCTTGAGGATCAGCTTAGGAAGATATTTGATGACTATAGAAGACAGCTCTCTTTGACTCCTGTTATGAGCTTTACAAGACCATATTCTCGTGCTTCTGAGCAAGGACCAGAGACCGAGAACTTTGGTGTGTTGGAGTTTAAGTTTCTGACGTTTCTCCATCTAACTCATTTGAATTTTTTTCTAATATTCATTCTAAACTTCTTATTATGTTTACTGAGAACATGATTTGTTTTAGTTAGATGATATTTCAGAGACTGCGGAACCAGGGAAGTCAGCGTTGGATAATATTAGAGGATCCAAACTAGATATGAGAGCTCTTTCTGATTTGAATGTGTTGCGATATTGGAAAGAGAACATGCATCGTTTTGGCGCACTAACATTCATGGCAATTGACATTCTCAGCATTTCTATTACCACTGTGGCTTCTAAATCTTCTTTCAGTATTGGAGTTCACGTAATAAGCAAGTACAGAACTCGCCTCACTCCTAGAAATGTG